ATGCATTCAATTCAATTCATTCATTCATTCAGTCAGTCAGTCCACATTTCAGTCCACATCGTCATCAGCAGGCGTCGATTACCGGCGCAAGATTGCATCGCCACTGGGATAATGAGTGGCACGAAACAGTCGAGCCCCGACGTAGGCCCATTCATCTGTCTGCGCGGTCTTTCGCCGTTGATGGCAGTTGCTCACCTGAGTTTTCAGGAACGGACCGCAAGCAAACGGAGACCTCGTACTTAATACGGATGTCAGTGGTCAAAGCGCACAACTGAAATCACCAGCATGTAAGGTGATTTAATCATACCAATGACGTATTTGAATTACAACCATTCCATTCACCACGTACATTTGGCGGACGAGCCCCGGAATGGCAGTGCGATGCCCTTTAACCCCGTCTCCATGGTCCCGAGTCGGGCTCTGCGCGACCCCCGTGACCTGTCACCCTTCACGAGTGGCGAGTGGGCAACGGCAATAAATACTGACATCGGTCACCTGACTGGCTGTTCATCTTTAGCTAAACTGCTACTTTAGAATTCCATCTCGCCATGCTGATTGGACGCTGCTCAGCGGTTCACGTTTGAGCCACCGCTCAAACCGCCAGCCACGCTACAACCTCATTCGCTTACAATTCGGCTTGTATCGAGCCACTTCTGTTTGAAAGTCTGAAATGATGCTGATTGAGCTGTTTCATATCATGTATTCTATTTTCATAGAATTCTGTTCCCAGCTGCATTCTTCGAGGGCAGGATACCTCAGTGCATTACAACCGACTGGCTGTTGTGGTGCTGAGGCTACAATAGATGTATATGGATGCATGAATCCGATGTACGTTCCTGTGTCGACATGTGCTCTGTTTCGTAGGAGCTCAACTAGTTAAACTGCTAATAAATAAAGCATCACGGCCGTGGGAGTTCAGCTAGTTAACAAATTGCAAACAAATAAAGCGTCACGAGTCGTGGGAGTGCAGGTGGTTAAAATGCACACAAAGTGTCACGAACCATGGAAGTTCAGCTTAAGTGCAAACAAACAAAGCGTCACGAATAGCGAGAGCGCAGCTAGTTAAACTGCAGATAAACAGAGCGTCACGACCGAAACTGTCGCCTGCGATTCCAGCTTAACAAACACGCCAGGCGAACAGACACACAGCGGGCGATGGCTCATGATGTGCATGTTGCGTCGATACGGCAGCACCGTCACCACGCGGCACGATTAAGCTGGCGCCGTCGCGTTCAGCGCCCGCCCGCCCGTTAGCACAGGTTGACGCGGAGGTGGCACTCGCAGCGCGACGCGGTGCCTTTACGCGCACGAGCTCGATGTTTTGCCAGGTGTGAGATCGATTTGCCGTCTGCGTGTGACGGTGCGCGGGTGGCAGTTGTCGACGTCGTTCGGCCGCGTGGGCACGCCCGTCCAGCACCGCTGACCATGGCTTGGGGCACGATGGCGCGCGGCACGACCTGCGTCAAGACGGGTGAGCTGCTCCTGCGCGGTGCGGGCTGGTGCGTGAGTGTCTGTTCTGAAGCGGGACCCATCTCAGTTCATTCGCACTCAGATGAAGGATCAAACGTGCACAGAACGTGTACAGCGTCCGCAGAGCTCGGTTCGAGGTAGCATGGTGCGTTATGCATCGCGTTCGCTTTATTCATATGGTGTTAGCCCAGCGGCACTTGCACCACGAGCGATGCCTGGGGCCAGACGCCCTGAAAGCTGTCAGAAAGCTGTCAAAAAGCTGAAAAAAGTCAGTCTGCGTGCAAGTCCGTAACATCTGGACTAGTGCCCTCAGAGTTTATTGTTTGTTTTCCTAAACCTTACAAGTACCGACATCCGGTCAGGAAAACATCGAACGGCTGCTAGTATCAAAACTCATCAGTTCATACACTGAGTAAGTTGTCGGCAGAGTATGGGTGTTATGCACACACACACCTGAAATGAGTTTCACTGTACACGTACGCTGCAGTGCTGGGCCTGTCCGTTGGCTCCCAAGCACGTCGGCTGCTGCCGGGTGCGAAGGGCGCCTCACGCCGGTCAGACGTGACCCGCTGCCGGCCGGCTGTGTCGACAGCGTTCCCCGCGGTGACGGTGACCGGCGCGGAGCGGGGCGGCGCGCTCCAAGAGAAGGCCCAGGCCCGGAACGCTTCCCTCAGGTGGTGCCTGCTCTCCGTCTGCTGCGCCATCCTCGGCATCTTGGTACGCGTGCGCTGCCCGGCCTCAGAGGTGCTGCTCGGCAGGCCATCAGAGGCCACGCGAGGTTCAGCAGCGTGATCCGATGGCATACGAACGTGAGCGTGGCGGTGTCCATCAGCTGGCCGACTGACGTCATTAGGCGCCAGCGACTTGCTTGATGACCTCGTGACGCTTCGGGTCGGGGAGGGGGAATAACGCTTCAGCAGGCTTTAACCAATCCGGAGTGGTTCATTGCACCACATTCAGCAACGGCCTATTGTATGAGCTTCAGCAATATAACAAGTGGAGAATGTGACGCACGCTAGACCCTGTCCATCCACGTATGCTTCGCTTAGATGCGTCCGTTTTTCACGCGACGTTTGAACACTCGTGCTGCAGCGCTCGGACGCCTCACGCCAGCAGACGTCAGCTGACGCACGTGCGCTGATTCCCAGCTGATCGCTCTGGCCGGCTCCGTGCTGCTCAGCTGGCGCCTCGCGCTGCTGGGCAGGTCCGCCGCCCGCGCTCACCCCGGCGACAGTGCTGCCACCTCGAGCCCGCTGCAGACGCAGATCTCTCCGCCGGCAGTCGACCCGCCGCCGACGGCCGACCCGGCCGCCGCGGCCGCCGGCCCCAAGTGAGCCGACGCTAGGATAGGGCGGAACGGTGTGGACGGACCCACTCCTGATACCCGGATAGTACTGACAGCGGGTCCTGACGTCTGGTGCTGGGATGGCGCCGGCGTGGTTGAACCCGACTCCTGATACTCGGATCGTACCACTGGCTGAGCCTGACGCCTGGTGCAGGCCCCGACCACCGTTGCTAAGATTGCGCCGATCAAGGGACCTGGACCCTGTTCATCTACGATACTGAGATAATGCTATGGGTCCTGACCAGAGATCTTACCTTCTGGAGTTTGGGGGTGGGGGAGGGAAGAAGAGGAGGCTGAGCCAACAAAGCTGACCCATCCTACTCCAAAAGTCTGATTTTCCTTGGACCCAAGCCTTTGATCTGCGTCCCTAATGCTTCTTAAGAACATATCTGGTCGGTTACAGAACTGTTTCAATGCTGAGAAATGGCTTCGCATTTGAAGACGATGTGATAGTGCTAATGATGATATGTGATGATGACGATGATGTTGAGTAATATTATGTATATATAATATAATCAGCCATGTACTCAGGTGCAATTTGCACGGCAAGTTGTGGGGAAAGCACGGTTCCGATGAAAGATGGCTCACATTATTTGTAATAGTTAATGTTTATAATAATTTATATGAACAATAATAATTTATGTATAATAATGTAATCATTCATTCACTATAATAATTTATGTATAATAATAATGATGTATATGTATAATAATTTATGTTTGTAGCAATGCACTTGTGACTCGTAAGCCAACCGTGCAGCTAACTGAGGTCGAGGACAATCCTGCTAATTCAACCTTACACTTGCAGAAAAACCAGCAAACACTCGCGCCACCACAAGAAGCATCGCCTGTTCTTCATATTTTTCCGACGCCACATACCATCCAACTCGTCTGAGCATGACCAGCCCAGCACGCCGCGGCCGGGGACCACGCCTGCCAGCGGGAGGCACCGACAGCACCACATCGCCAGCAGGGACATGACCCGCTACAGCACGGGAGCCGACGACGCGCAGCCGGCTCAGCAGCGCGAGCGAGCCCCGGCAGAGCGTGAGGGCGCGCAGTCAGCGGGGAGCAGGGAGACGGAGGACAGCGACGACCGCTGGTCGGCCAGGGTCACGAGGCGGGCGGGGGCGGCAGCGGCCGCGAGGAAGCCCGCGAAGAAGATCGAGCCAGTCGTCTGGCCTCGCCGGCTGGAGAACGTCAGCTGAGCAGGCGGGCCGCGGCCGACCGCGATCCTTGTCCGGCGACTTGGACGAGGATGCTTTTCAGGGCTCCCGATTATGCCATGCGGGATGCAGTGGATGTGCATTGTGTGACCCCCCACCAGGACAAAGGGTTGTGCGAGTTTTAGCCTCGGGTTTGCGCTTGATTTTGGCGGGGATCTTGCAGCTCTATGCTTTCTCATAGTTCAGGGTACGGCAATTGACCCCGATTTGCGTGACGTAAACATTCTTTCAGAAACCGCCAGCTACCTAGCTGAACGAGTTTGCGCTTTCTGGGCGAGGTATTTCGCTTCATTGTATTCATCTGCGAGTCTCCCCGGGGTTCAACGAAAGCTGCATCGATCGCACGCCATATAAACAGGAGTTCAAACCACGTCTTTCTCGCACCGACACGTGACATACCGCCAGCCGCCGCCGCCGGTGCAGCGGGCCGGCCGTATACCTACTCGCGGCTCCCGCCTTCCGACCAAAGAGAACGCCGGTCCCGAAATGGACCGGGAGGCCTGCTAATGACACCATTAGAGCCTTGGATTACTTACTGACTGTAGTGACATGATAAGCCGACTTAAATATTGAGTGAAACGTTTATTTCTTGTAAGGCACGGCAAAGCTCAAGGGACTGGGTCAACATCCTATGCAAGACGTCAGTCATGACCCCATGCAAGACGCAGGGTAGGTGTAGCTCCAGACAGACCAAAGTGAGGCTTCACACGGTACCGGCATCCCTGTCATCACGGTCACGAGGTCACGGACCACTGACCTCCCATGGCACGGCCGGGTTTCGGCAGTTCCTTCCGCGTCAGCGTGCAAGAAAACAGGTGGTTGTTTGGCCTGGGTCACATACCAGCAGGCAGAGACTTCTTCACAGAACTTTAAAAGGACACTGACGAGTCCTTAACACAGCATCGAGATCGATGGCACATCGCCGATCCGGCTGGCCCACACGAAGTAAATCACGCGTCTTTACAACAGCTCCAGCTCCAGCTGGTCCTCTTCGGGAAAGGTCTGTGCCTCTGCCGGCGCCTGCTCGCCTACGTCCTCAGCCGCCTGCTCACCGGACGCAGCAACAGCATCCTCCTCCTCTGGCGGACGCCGGTCCTTCTCCCCCTCCTCCGGAGAGGGACGCCGGTCCTCCTCCTCCTCCTCCCGCGACGGATGCCGGTCCTTCTCCGGCGACGAAGGACGCCGGTCCCCCTTCTCCGTCGGCGGAGGACGTACGTCCTCCTCCTCCTCCTGCGGCGGAGGGCGCCGGTCCGGCGAGGTCGACAGAACCATCTCCGGTGCCGCCACCTCACCGCCATCTGCGCAGGCCAGCGCGTCGTCGACCGTAGCTGGCGCTTCCGGAGCTTCGGACGCCGGCGAGCGCACCACGCCGGCCGGCCGAGCCAGCGCCGGACCGCCGCCGACTGGAGCGTCACCGGCGGCAGGAGCGTCACCGGCGGCAGGAGCGTCACCGGCGGCTGGGGCGTCACCGGCGGCTGGGGCGTCACCGGCGGCAGGAGCGTCACCGGCGGCAGGAGCGTCACCGGCGGCAGGGGCGTCACCGGCGGATGGAGCGTCACCGGCGGCATCACCGGCGGCGGAGGCGTTACCGACCGATGGGGCATCACCGGCCGATGGGGAGTCACCGGCGGCTAGAGCACGGCCGAGGCTCTTGGCTAGCCGGGGCCGCGGCCGACCCTGCCGACGAGCGGGCCGGCGGCGGACGGCGCGGCGCGGCGTCGGCCGCTCGCTGGGCCGCGGCGGCTCCAGCTGGTGTCCCACCAGCCGGCACCAGCCGACCGGGAATATGTCCGGACTGGACGCGTCCACCCACTGGTCGAACCGCTCCTCCCAGCCGTCGAAGTGGATGCGCAGCAGGCGCCCGACCACGGCCGCCACAGTCGCCACGCATACCAGCTGCGGGTCCATGAGATCCACCGCCTCCAGCCGCTGGCCCGGCTGAAAGCCGTGCGAGAGCGGCGGCCGCTGGAAGAGCCGCGCCGGCGCCGCCTGCGCGCCCGGCTGCGATGCCAGGTACGCCTCCCAGCTGAAGGTGTCGGCCGCGTGGCCGTGCGGCGGCGTCAGCGCCACGCCCACGGTCCGGCAGAACCCCGGCGGGAAGATGTACGGCGAGCTGGCGTGGTAGCAGAACCAGTCGGCGTCGGCGCGCCCCGGCTCCGGCGGCAGCGACTCCAGCCGCACCATCAGGAAGTGGTTGCCCAGCACCTGCATGACGGTGGCCACGCCGATGCTGCCCAGGTTCAGCGGGTCCAGCGCCTCCAGCTTCATACGCACCTGGGGACAGCAGTCGGGCGGGGTGGGCGGTCCAGTCATCACACATACCGAGTCACATAGTCATAGTCATAGTCATAGGGGCGGACTACGAACGCCACACGATACGGACGCGGCTCGCCCACCGGTCAGAAACCAACCAGAGCGACGGCGGGTCACGCAGAGATGCGCGCAACATATCACCGCAGAAAATCGGTCCGAGGATGAGAGAGAGGAGAAAAAGTGAGACGACAAAATCGGTCCGAGACCATTCTACCCGCCAGCGGCGCACCTTGAAGCCCTCGTGCGTGATGGGCGGCGGCGCCGGCAGGCAGTCCTGCGTGGCGTCCGCGGGCAGGAAGGAGCCCGTCTCGCAGCGCGCCAGGTAGTCGTCCGGCGCCGACAGCCGGTGGCCGACGGCGCGCGCCCAGCCCACCGGGTGCACCTGGCGCGGGGGGGGGGGGGGGGGGGGGCGGTACATCACGCAGCGCTCACCCCACCAGCATCCGACGCGTCCCCCGGGCGTGCCTGCTATATGGGACGGGGACAGGCCGCTCTCTCCGCTCCCTCTCCCTCCGAATCTCACACCCATACCCAGATTAAGGGAGATTAGGCACGGATGGCACAAAACCACAGCGGGAGCAGTTTTAGAGGATATTTAGCACTCGCTAGCTGCAGAAGTATTGCAAGTTGGCACGGCCGATTTCAGCGACATAGGCACCGGAATACAAACTGAGCCCAACACCCATACTTGTAAATCACCATTTCCCTGAGCTTCGCCGACGAATAACACAGCCCTCTGTCAACAAAGCTCAACGCACCACCACCTGACCACAGCTACCGGCTACACGCCCCACATCGCTGACGTCACAGCCGGCGAGGCGCCGCGCACCCGGCGGGCGGCGCGCGACTCACCAGCGGCGAGTTCTCATGACACCAGAAGCCGCCGTCGTCGTCCGGCGCGTCCAGGTAGTGCACGTGCAGGCGGCGGCCGACCACGCGGCTGACGGTGGCGGCGCGCACCTGGCTGATGCAGCTCTTGTCCACCACCTCCACCGTCTGACCCACCGCGAGCTGGGAGCTGAGGCCGGCCACCACCTGCGCCGCAGAGCAGCGGGCCTCAACAGTCGCGGTCGCCCGCTGCACCGCACGGCAGAGCGCCTCAGTGGACAATACCGGTCTTCCGGTGGAAGCCGTGAGACAGTGCCCTACAATGGACAACACTAATTTTCCGGTGGGCGCTGTCGGGCAGTGTGCCCTATAGTGGACAATACTGACCTTCAGGTGGAAGCCGTGGGCAGTGTGCCCTACAGTGGACAATACTGACCTTCCGGTGGAAGCCGTGGGTAGTGTGCCCTACAGTGGACAACACTGACCTTCCGGTGGAAGCCGTGGGCAGTGTGTCCTACAGTGGACAATACTGACCTTCCGGTGGAAGTCGTCGGGCAGCGTGCGAGTGCCGATGAGCCGCTGCACCAGCAAGCGCTGCCAGTCGGCGCGCGGCCGGGCGGCGGCCGGCGGCGTCAGCGGCAGGCCGTGCGCGGCGCACCAGCCCACCGGCTTCACCTCCTCCGAGCAGAGGTCCACCCAGCGGTCCCGGCTGGCGTCGTTGCCCATGCCCTCGAAGCGCACCAGGCCGCGGTAGCCCTGCACCTGCAGCACGGCCGCCGGCCAGTAGGTGGCGGGCGCGCCGCGGCCGGCCGGCCGCTCGGCCACCTCCACGCGCAGCCCGGCGCCCACGGCCCGCCAGGTGGCGTTCAGCGGCGCGTGTCCGAAGCAGCAGACGGGCGCGGCCGTGAACGTCGGGTCACGCATCAGGCTGTCCCAGCTGAACGCGTCCGGCGCCGACTGGCTGGCCGGCGACGGCGGCGGGCCGGCAGAGTCGGGGAGGCATCCCGCGGTGGCAGCGGCGGCGGCGGCGGGCACCCGGCGGGCGCCACCCGAGCACCGCTGAAGACAGAAGACAGGTCAAATAGGAAACCAATAATTGCGATGTAACATGCAAATGTATGTACCATGTATGATATATGATATAAAACGTGCAAGGTTGAAATGAATAAAAGATAGATCCAGCATTGATGGAAAGTTATAGCGTGATACCATACCTTGATCTTTTTGTATTCTTGCTTCTGCTGATCATTGCCATCACCATCCCTCCCCCTCTTCAACACAGGTTGATCCTTATCAGCAGGCGCAGGCGTGATCTGGCTGATTGGCATCTGGAAAATGAACTTAACATATTACAATTGTACTAATACACCAGAGACATGAATGACATAAATGATAGATAGATTCAGCATTGATGAAAAGTTATAATGTGATACCCTACCTTGATCTTTTTGTATTCTTGCTTCTGCTGATCATTGTCATCACCATCCCTCCCCCTCTTCAACACAGGCTGATCCTCATCAGCAGGCGCAGGGATGATATGGCTGTCAGGCATCTGGAAAATTAAGTAAACACATTACAATTGTACTGATACACCAGAGACACGCCCAGTATTCATAATCACCACCATTCAAGTCATGCATCAACTTTCATTATGCCACACTAAATGCTGTGGTCATGCCAAATATATATATATATATATATATATATATATATATATATATATATATATATATATATATATACCCTACCTCACCTCATGGTGATCGGAATGATAAAAGATCACTAGGCCTGTAGGTCCCCGTCTCGTCACAGTCCCGGTCCATTAACCAGTCTCGAATTATGGGAAGATTCGGTGTGGGACGTTGCACATGATGTCAGCCCAGTGCAGGAAGTCAAAGAAAATGTGTTCCTGGTCAAATTGCAAGATATTTTCAGAGAGACTCAAGCTAATTGGAATATGGCTTCACTTCAAAGGTCCATTCATAAATCACATTGCATATTCAGCAGGCTTCTCTTTTAGGGTGTGCCGGTGCCGGCTGAGCCAACGATCCGCGCACCTCTTTACCGGGAAGAAGCGGAGGGGGACCTGGTCCTCCCTTTTGAAGATTTCCTTCATAGCGTGATCCTGGTCGTTGCTCCCCAAGCCATCGTGCTTTCCCTCAAAGCGGCCTTCTACAACAAATTTTGACGCTTTACCAACCCTTTCAGTGTCAGCCTGAGGCCGGCTGGGCACTAAACATATTTCAACTAACTCGGCGATATCCGGAACATTTGCGCGCAGATCTGTCTCAGGTCGCATAAATGATCGGAGCGCCGCCTCCGGCAGCCAGTGGACGACACCGCTGCGTGTCGGCAGCCACTCGTCTCCAAACCGCTCTCGCCCCGCCACCACTCTACGCTTGAACTCTCTGAACTGCCACAGAAGGCACGCACACCCCGGTCCCAGGCACGTGGCACTGCACGGTTTGTCCTCGATACTTCTCAAGGTCTGGGAGTGCAAGGAGTGTCCGCGCAACCTCACGCCGTCGGTGAGTCACTTCCGGTAGGGTGCCAGTGGACGCGTCGGGTGTGTGTGTGTCAGAGAGTTGCCTGCGACTCACCTGTGCTGGACCGCCACTCAAAGCACCGCTGACGACCGCAGGTCCGTCCTCCTCCAGACGACCCTGGAAGTCAGCGTCAGTCAGCTTCGCCATGTCCTGTCGGAACGATGTCGATGCACGGCCACCTCGTCGTCAAACACCGTGCATGTCGCGGCCTGGCCAGCTTTACCAAGCGTGACAGCGGGGCGCATGATGTCGAGCACTGCCAGTGCATTGGAAAGGAACCTGGCGTCCCGAAGGGAATTTAGGGCTGATTTGGCATTGTTTTTGTCGATGTCACCACTCGCAATGCCATCCTTGAGCACTGCTGCGGCCACATCGGCCACACCGCGGCCACATCGGCCACACCGCAACGACATCGCGGCCACATCGGCCACACCGCGGCCACATCACGGCTCGTCAAAATACGTTTAATGGCCTCTACCGAGTGCGCCACGAATCGCGTCTCAATAAGGCGCTGAAAGACCACGCATAACAGGTCCAAGTCTTCAGCTGTCCGTCCAGTTTGCCGCTTCAGTTTTGGCGAAGCCGTGAACACGGTTATAATCGAATTTGGTTGCTGGAAAAAAGCCTCCACCCACGCACATGTCTGATGGTGCTTAATTTTGTCCAAGAGAGACTCCAGCAGCTGCGGCTGGTCACTGAGGTGCATGAATGATGGATTTCCATGCAGCTCTCTCCAGATGCAGCCGAAGCCACTGACTGGTCCCGAGTACACGGTCTCGCAGTCCGAAGAAGCAGAGAGGACTTGACGCCCAATTTCGTCCATCGTCAGTTCCAAATCGTTGTTAAGATAGTCAGTCACGTGAGCGAGCACACCCCGCCCGTTGGTCTCGTTGTAGCCAGTGGCTGCATCACGCTGCCGCAACGAGAGGGTGGCTGTGTAGATGGGAACGGGGTCAGGATACGGTCTCACCACTGCGGTCGTCCCGTGAACTACCACAGTGTTGGCGTCGGTGTCAAGAAGTCGCAAGTTCACAGCCTGTAGCGTCACGCCAGTCACTGTGACCTTGTCCATGGACAAGCGCATGTGCCGGGCACGTCCACTCACAGGGTTTGGCGTCTTGATGTGTTGCTTCAGCTCGTCTTTGAAAACGTCATAAATCACGTCCACAGACTGGGCAGCGGCTAGGTGAGTTTGATGCTGATTGCCAACTTTGACCTCCAAGGTATTCAGAAGAAGGTGTTCGCGTTCAAAGTCGGCATACGTATGACCACGGGTAATCATGTCGTATGCGATGGTTAGGTTTTTCAGTGGCTTCGCGACGCTCCTCACTTTGCCGCTGCACCAGCCTGGCGGGGGGTCCCGCCCTGCGTGTCCGCTCTGCCGTCACAGAGAGTCAGTGTCGATTCGAGGCCGCATGCTTTGCCAGTCGTTGGTTTTTTTCTGCCGTCCAGGAGAACACCTTGATCAGACCACGGGTCCGTGGTGCCTCTGTCGGTGGAGTGGCGGGTGCACCGCCGACAGATGCCATACTCCTTGTCCCCGCGTGTCAAGTAGTAGCCAGTTGTCTATGTCGCTGTCTGTTGTCGCCTCGGTGTCCGGTTGGGTACCTCTGTCGATATTTGTCAGGGTGATCGGCACGTCCCGCGTCTCGTCTGTGGCCGTCTGCCTACGTCCTGATGAACAAATGGTCAGACTCTCGAGTTGAGCCAGGCATTTGCCAATCATAGCCTCTCGCCGCCGGTGGCATGTCACAGCATGCACATTTCTTCACTTCAACAAACGTAGTCGGCATTCCTCCAAGCGCATGCACGTCCATGCCTCCTACCACAACTGCATTTCCAGTCTGCCCCGCCCCAACATTTTCTACGGCTCTGCTCTCATCCACCACCTTGCTTCCTACAGCGGGCACTCC